CGGCGGGTCCAGCGGAATGACGTCCTGGCCGGATTCAAATAATACTTCGCCATCGCTGGGGGGTTGGGGTCGGCGAAAATGTCACCACCTTCGACGCTGCTGGGGGTTCCAGAGGAGCGACGCCCTATGCGGAATCATAATAGACACCGCCATCCGTGGGGGGCTGCGATTTGCGAAATAGTCACCATTTTCGAGGGTTGCTGGGAGGTCCAGTGGAGTGACGCCCTACCTGGATTCGAGTGAGACCTCGCGATCCTTGGGGGCGTCCGATTTGCAAAACGATCGCCATATTCGAAAGTTGTTGGGGGGTCTAGCGGAGTGACGCCCTTTCTGGATTCAAATGAATCCTCGCCGTCCTTGGGTGGCTTCGATCGGTCAAACGGTCGCCACTTTCCATGGCTGCTGGGGTGGTCCATCGGAGCAACGTCCTACCCGGAGTCAAATGCAACCTCGTCGTCGTTGAAGGGTTGCAATCTGCGAAACTGTCGCCACTTTCGACGGTTGCTGGGGGGTCCAACGGAGTGACGTCCTTTCCGAATTCAAAGGAGACCTCGCCATCCGTGGGGGGCTGCAATCTCAGACCGGCCTCAACTGTCGAAGGCCAGAAACGGCCTCAACTGTCGACGGCCGCTGGGGTCCAGCGGGGCGACGTCCTACCCGGATTCAAACAGTCGCCACCGTCGAGGCATGCTGGGGCGCCCCGAAGCGCGACGTCCAACCCAGATTCAGATGAGACCTCGCCATCCATGTGGGGATGCGATATGTGAAGGTGGCGCCACTTTCGAAGGTTGCTTTGGGGCCCAGTGGAATGACGTCTTACGCGGACCACCAGGAGACTTCGCCATCCCTGGGGGGCCGCGATCTGCAAAACAATCGCCACATTCGAAAGTTGCGGGGGGGTCCAGCGGAGCGACCGCGTACCCAGACTCACATGAGCTTTCACCATCCCTGAGGGGCTGCGATCTGCGACTACGTCGCCAATGCCGACCGAGCGCTGCTGCGGGATCCAACGAAGTCTTGACGTTTTACGAGGACCACCAGGACACCTGGCCATCCCGGGGGGGCTGCGATTGGCGAACATGTCGCCATCTGATGAAAGGGCTTCTGGGGTCCAGTGCTGTGAGGTTTTACGAGGACCACCGGGAGATCTCGCCACCCCTGGGTTCCAGCGGAATGACGCCTTTTTCCTTTACTTGTGCCACGACCGACCTGTTGATGATACGCAACCTCGGCCTGGATTTCCTGGCCCGCGGGCCGCCGCCAGACCTGGCGGCGCCCCATCGAGCGTTTAGCTCCGTCACTGGAGAATGCAGGGAGGAACCAAAAACGCTGGCGGGCGAGCTAAGCCTTGCTCGCTTCTTCTTGCACGAACTATAAGCAAGGCCAATCATTCCCAACCCCGCTGCGTTGGGTACTCGTTTTGAATAAGGCACTGCGCGCGCGTTTCCTTCTCCTCCTCCCCGCCTCTCTCCTCCTCTTATCTTCCCTCACCGCCTTTCACCTCGCTCCCTCCTGCGTGCCAGCTTGCTTCCTACAAGGTCATCCATGCGGGCTGCGACCTGCGAAACTGCCGACACGATCGAAGGCTGCTGGGGGTCCAGCGGACTGAGGCACCACCCGAACTCATACTAGACCTCGCCTTTTTTGGGGGGCTGCGATGTGCGAGCCGTCGCCATTTGCGAATTCTCCTGAGGGGCCTAGCCGAATGTGGCACCACCCAGACTCAGATTAGACCTCGCCACCCCCGGGGAGCCTGCGAGGTGCGAGCCTGTCGCCACTTTCGAGTGTTGCTGGGGGGTTCAGCGGAATGCGGCACCACCCAGAGTCAGATTCGACCTCTCCATCCCTGGGTGGCTGCGATCTGAGCAACCGCCCCCACTTTCGAGGGCCGCTGGGGGGCCCAGACGGGTGACGTACAACCCACATTTAGATTCGACCGCGCCATCCCTGGAAGGTTGCGATCTGCGAAAATTCCGACACTTTCGAAGCCTGTTCGCGGGTTCACCTGGGAAGCTGCGATCTGCGATACTGCCGACACTTTCGAGGGTTGCTGGGGGGGGCCAGCGGGGTGAGGCACCACCCGAACGCAGAGGAGACCTCGCAAGCCCTGGGAGGCTGCCATCAGCGGAAGTGTCAGCACTCTCCAAGGCTGCCAAGGGGTCCAGCGGGGCGCTGTCGCAGGCCGCCGGCAGACCTGGAGGCGCGCCTTCGGGAGTGTAGCTCCCGCACTTACGAGTGCAGGGAGCAGGCTCGGCCTCGCTCGCTTCCTGCACATTCTGCAAACAGGTTTAGCGGTTTAACCATTTGGTCGAGCGCCGCAGCGACATGGCGCAGGCAACGCTGCATCTGTAGCGTGCTACCGGCAAAGGCAAGCACTCTTCGGTTTCCTCCCGTCACTTGGGTCGTCGTCCTCTGCCCCCTTGCCACCTTCCCTCTGCTGCTGCCGCGCTGACGAATAAGCCCCCCGCGCGACCGTCATTCTCTTGTCGTTGTCCGCCCCCATGTCCTCCTCAAACCCCTCGCTCATCATCCTTCTGTTGTTGTCCTGTGAATCGTGCCACGCAAGCGAGTCCCATGTAGCTAGCACCACATATAACGACGCCTGCGCTGCCATTGTCTTGGCAAGTTGGGGCCAACTCCTCTTACCACTTGATGCAAATGGGTTGGGTGCGTCAAAGGGTACATGGTCAACATTTTTTGACATTAGGAACATCCGAGCCTCTCCTGAATCTGGAGTTGTCCTTGTTGCAGCGATATGACTGTACTGGGAATCGCGCGTATACACTATAAGGTATCTGGGCCCTGTCCAATGGGGTTGCGCAGAAACGCCATCGAACAATGGTTTGTTTAAAATTGTGCGACCCTTTATTGAGGCGACGTGCTGAACAAAACATACAAACATACACTGTGTTTGGACTACCATGTATCACTAATGGGTTGACTAACATGACAGAATGGACTGGACATAATCCAGGCCCGGATTCACCCACATCGCTTACACGCAAAAATGACCCTAGGCAAGAGTGATCTTCCGCGCGCGGCAAGGGAGGACCCTTTAGGGACACCACCAGGCGCGAAAGCCGCTGCTATATCGCATCGCATTCAGGTGCCCAATTGGGCTCGTCACTCCGGCGAAGAGCACCAGAAAATCGTAACAAAGGCTGACCAGATACAGCCGTTCCCGGCATTCAAATAGGGCTGACTACCAAGACGTGCTCTCAGAATTCAAAAACGCTCTGATAACCAAACAACAGTGTTCTCAGAACCTAGGCCCGATGTGCTACAACAAGACGGCCTCAACCAGCGTTCTGAGAACATGTCGTGCAGGACCACAAGAGGCTCTTACAATACGATGCGGGCGCGGCGGCAAGAAACCCTCGCACGAAACCCAACCCTGAAAACCCGCACGAGAGGTGCACTCGAGGGGAAACCCGGAGCAACTGGAACGCAGCAGCTCCTTCAGCGGCTGCGGGAAGTCATCGCCCAGCGCGCGGAGCAGAGAAACCCAGGAGGCCCTCACGAAAAGCACTTGGTCTCTTCAGGCGCGCTCCCACTGTCTTTTCTGCTGGGCCTGGACGCTTCGCCCCTGCTCGATTCCCCATCGGGCGTTGGCAAAACTGGGTTTAGTGGGACATGGTTTAGTGATCTTAGGGGGAAAACAGAACTACCTCGCTTTTGACCACCCTCGCTTCCAAGAGATACCAAGCGATGCCAAACTACGGCCTGTACTGGTCAGGCCGCTTGACGAGGAGGCGCGTGGTATGACTTGGTTTTTCCTGGAAGCGAAAGCGGGGTAGGTAATTCACTCTCTGAGATATGTACTGGGGGCCGCCCCCCCGCCCCGTTCCACTGACCGGAACTACCGTCGCCCGCAAAGCACCAGCTACGGCAGACCTGGTTCAGCGACTCTGGCAAGTTTGAAGGGCTCCAGGGCCCTACCACTAAAGGGTCCCCTTACCTGGGGTCCTGGCCTTAGTGGGCCCCGGAAACGGCAGGGCCGTTTTTTCTCCGTTTCCGAAAAAATAGCCCTTGAAAATGGAAACGGCAAAAAAACGGCGACCGGAAACGGCAACAAAAACGGCTCCAGGATCGGAACCAAAAAAGGAACGGCGACGGAACCGGTAAACAAAAACGGCGTCGGAACCGGCAACAAAAACGGCAAAACGGAACCGGTAAAAAAACGGCCCTTTCGTTGACAGGGCCCACTAAAGTCCTGGCTAGACCCGACACCCCCCTTATAATGGGCCCTGGGAACGACAGGGCCGTTTTTTTTTCCGGTTCCGTTTTGCAGATTGTTTGCCGGGTCCGACGCCGTTTCTTTGCCGGTGCCGTCGCCGTTCTTTGACGGGTTCCCGCTCCGGATGCGATCCTGGAGCCGTCTTTGTTGCCGTTTCCGGTCGCCGTTGTTTTGCCGCTTACGTCTTCAAGGGGCACTTCTTCGGAAACGTTATAAAAACGGCCCTGCCGTTTCCGGGACCCACTAAGGTCCTGGCTATACCCGACCCCCCCCCGTCGCACGATGCCGCAGCCACTCCGACGGCCACCACCACGGGCGGCGGCGGCGGCGCGGTGCGGTCTGGCGGCATTGCAACAAAACGTCGTGTTGAGGCGTTTTCGAACAAAACGCTCCGGAAACATGAAAACGGTGTGACAGCGTTCCGCTCGCGTCCTGGGCTGTACCGTACTGTACCCGACCCCCCCTCGTCGCACGATGCCGCAGCCACTCCGACGAGCACCACCGCGGGCGGCGGCGGCGGCGGTTCCCGCCCGGGACGTAATGAAATAAGAAGAGGCGCCATGAAATCTGGGGAAATGTCATGGCCCACGCCATGATATCCACCCCCCCCTAGTCATCACCCCCCTCTTTCCGCCCCCGAGTAAAAAAACGGCCCTGCCGTTTCCAGGACCCACGAAGGCCCCCCCACCGTCGCACGATGCCGCAGCCACTCCGACGAGCACCACCACGGGTTCGGCGGCGGTGCCCGCCCGGGCCTGCAGGCCGCCGACGCCGGCCGAGGACGCGGGCTCCAGGGAGAAGGTCACCTCGTCGCCGTCCTGCGGAGGCTGCAGGTCGTGCCCCTGGCCCCTGGCCATCGCTCGGACGCCCAGTCCCCGCGCCTGTGTGGTGGACGTCCGAAACGGGTACGGAAATAATGGGTACCATGCCCAACAACGAATGTTGTCCCAAAGCAACAGCGGCCGCTGTTGGGCACGCGGCCTTCTGTATCGAATGGGCACAGACCGCGGCGGCGGGGACAGCGAGTCCGGTTCAAAATGAACAAGATATGCTGTTGGGCATTGTACCCGTTCTTTCCGTGCCCATTTCGTTCGTGCAGATTTGCCGGATTCGCACGTGCATTTTTCCGCAAGATGAACCAGGATGCTTCTCGATGGTCCACGCCAGGAAGAAACGTAAGCGCGTCCGAGCGATGAAGGCCCAAGGTGCTCCCAGGATTTCCAGAGTGGAGCGAAATGCTGGAGGCACCTTGGGCCAGGGGCACCTTGTGCAACCACCGACTCCTCGTCCACAATGGTGACCTGCGGCCGTCGCCGTCGCTGGCGCCAGACGCCGTTGCGTCGGCAGCGTCATCGTGGTCGTCGACGACGTCGTCGGGGCGACGATTCGAAGCAGGGCAAGCTGAGACAACGGCAGCGCAAAATCGGTCTCCACCCCTGCATGGTCGACGACGTCGTCGGGGCGGCGATTCGAAGCAGGGCCAGCTGAGACAACGGCAGCGCAAAATCGGTCGCCACCCCTCCATGGCACCAAGCATGTGTGTCGAGCTGCGCCAAACGGTAGCAACGAAGGGCCACCCCGAAGGCCAACGTACAGCTATCTCAACTCGCCATCGTGATCGTCGTCGGCGGCGTCGTCGACGTTCTACCTCCAAGAGATTCGACGACTAGGGAGTAGGACCCAGAATCCTTGCCCTTCGAATCGACCGCCAGGACGTATATATCGAAAGCTGGGCGAAGGCTGCTAAAACCGTGGTTGCTGAAACGGCCCTCCCGGAAGGAAAAAACAACTTCCCGGAATGAGGCGCGGCACGCAAAACAGTCAACGGGCTTCATCCCCGCAAGGACGAAGACAACCTCCAGGAGGTCGATTCTAGCAGCCACGGATTTGGCAGCCCTTGCCCGGCTTCCGAAGATCGAACGCACCAGGACACGCTAGCACTGCGAGGCCCCCCCGAAGGCGCACGTCCAAAGCCAACATGCGTGAGCGGCGTCTTCTTCGGCGTTCCGGCACTGGGCGGAAGGGGGGAGCGGGAGCGGGAGGTCCGGCTCCGGACCTCCGATTCGCGCGACCGTTTGCAGCAGTGCGTCCTCCGGGGGAGACTCCACCTGCTCGAAGCGGGCCCCAAAAACCTCCAGGGATCTACTTCACGTGGGGGGGGGGGGGGAGGGGGTACGAGGGCCCGCGCCCATCGGGAAAACAATGAATAATCACACGATCGCTGTGTGAGTAGCACACATTCTTGGGCGGCGCAGCACAAGGGGGCGGGGGGGAGGGGGGAAGGCTTCTGGAAGGCTGGCTGCCTTCTTGCCCAAGGCGCGGCCCTTACCGCTGTTGAAGTGACAGGACAGCTTCGGTTGCTGTCACGATGAAGCATGGAATTCGAGGACGAGGAGAAGAGGAGGAGGGTAAGGAGGAGGAGGAGGAGGAGGAGTGGGACGGTGGAGGGGGAGGAGATGGCGAAGGAGGAGGAGGAGGAGAAGAAAAAGGAGGAGAAGGAGGAGGGGGAGGAAGAGGAGAAGGAGGAGGGGGAGGAAGAGGAGGAATAGGAGGAGGAGGAGGAGGAGGAGGAGGAGGAGGAGGAATAGGAGGAGGAGGAGGAGGAGGAGGAGGAGGAGGAGGAGGAGCGGGAGGAGGAGGAGGAAGAGGAGGAGGAAGAGGAGGAGGAAGAGGAGAACGAAGAGGACAAGTCGCCTAAGCCCTTCGGAGAAACCCTCCAACCACCTCTGCGAATGGCCGAATATCGCTACCCATGCAGAATGGCCAGAACACGGCAGCCACCGAGCATATACTATCATGAAGTCGGGCGTGTCCCCCTACAGGCGGAGTCTGGGCGAAAAGTAAAAGAGCGTAGAAACAAAAATACTCCAACATAAAAACATAAAAAAATGGAAAACACATGATCGAAAGATAATACAATACCCCCAAATAGAACAATTGGCACGCAACTTATCGAACAAATCGTCCCCAGGCTACTCTTTCACTATTTTTGGATACTTCTCCTGTCGAGGACCAGGCCCGACTTAAAACTGTCAGATCTCTGCGCGGGCGTGTCGCCGCCGAGGGGCCCACGCGCACACGGTGCAAGGAAGGGGCCCCGGGGGACACCAACGACTCGACAAACCCTGGCATTTTTAACACGAACGACACCAAACCCAAAACTCGACGACACAAACGACTCGACAATTTCAAATTGTTGTGCATACTTGCTGTATTTTCCTCTCTTTTTCTCTTTCCTTCCGATTCCCCTCTTTCCCCCTGCTTTCGCGGAACTGTGCCGGCGATGCCCTCCCGGCAGAAGTGTGCCTGGGGCCTGGGGGATCTGCAAACAGGCAAGGCGTCAACCCTCCTGGCCCTGCTGGAGCGTCCTCGTGGCCACGGTTCGGGGCAGCTCGGAGGACCGACTGGGACAGACCCTGGGGAACGAGGAGGCTGGAGACTCCAGTTCCAGAAGGCCCTGGAACGGATCTGCCCTCGGCCTGGCCCCGTCCGCTCACCAGCGGGCTCCGGAAATTCCCGAACCGACCGACCTGGCCATCTCTGGGGAGGCCGAGGCTTGCTTCCGCTGGCCTCCGCTGGCCTTCCGACGGCGGAGGCGCCCCCTGAGGTACCAGAGGAGAAACGCCATGCACATAAACATTTGGCGCTCCACGCGGCTCTCCAAGAAATCTGCGCGGAGCGCCCAAAGTTTAGGTCTATGGCGTTTTTTTGTTATATGATTCGATATACTTCCGCCACCTTCCGCCGAGGAAGAGATGGCAACTCACTCGACCATCGAAGGCGAATCCATTCCTAAAGCGCATCGACCAGGCTCGGCGTCGCCACCGCTCGGGGAGGACGAAACGGGGAAGATACGGCGGGTTCGTGTCCTGACAATAGAAGAAGGACCCCCCAAAACGCCAAAAGTTAATGTTTCTGGTTTCTTTCTTCTTCGAGACAACCTGCACTTTGGTTGCTGGCACCATGTGAATCGTTCGACCTGGAACGATCGGCGGCTTTCCCATCGGACGATCGTTCCATTTTGGCCGACTCTGGGCCACGACTAGAACCTGCCGATCAGCAGGGGGGGCTGGCCAATCAGCTCCGTGCAGCCAGCTTGCCCGCGTACCTCCTAACGCTAAAGGCGGCCGTGCATCGAGGAGCGCGCCAAAGGCCGAGAAGCCAGCTACACGCAACACATGTCGCACCTTTTTCCGAGCTCCTCACTTCGTCCGCCTCGACTCGCTGACTGTGATACGGCAGCAGCGGCTTGCAAGCGTGTCGCCACTCGTGCCAATGGTCACTCTTGCGTGCTGCCGACGCTTTCGAGCTCTTCTGTTCGTGACTCGGGTCTCTTGCGGCCGACCGCGACCACTCGGGCGCCCCCGGAACGCTCTCCGCGAGGCGCAGCTGCTGGAACAGATCCCGAGGCAAGAAAACCACCAGAAACACTTTGGACTGTGCAGGGAAACGACGGGGGGAGGGACGGGCTCGGCGGGGAAAACATCGACCCGGAATCGGCGATACATCGCCGGTGGATCGGCCATAAACCCTAGATAGCGAATCCGAACTGGGCGGGTTTAGGTGTCGGGCACCTCATCGGCGATCATGGGTGACTGGGGGTCAAAACGTGCCTCCCTCGAGCCCATCCTCCCCACGAAGGCTGCCCCTGGCAGATGCAAACAAAGTGCACACAAACGAAAAGAAGCCCTGATCATCGAACCCTCTGGACACCCACTCCCCCATGGAAAGCTGCACCAAAGGCCACGCCCACTGTTGCAAGCAGGACCGGGAGGCGGCGGCGCCGCCGCCGCCAGGCGCGCGGCCCGGCGCGGCCGCGGTCGCCGACGTCGTCGTGATCGTCGGCGTCCTCGTCCTCGTACTTCTCGTCGTCGTCGTCGTGCCTCATCCTCGTCCTTGTCCTTGTCCCCGTCGTGGCTTCCGCCGTCGTGGTCCTGGTCGTGGTCGTGGTCCTCGTCCTCGTCCTCGTCCTCGTCGACGTCAACGTCGTCGTCATCGTCCTTGCCGTCGTCGTCGTCGTGGTCCTCGTCCTCGTCGTAGTCGTCGTGCCGTCGTCGTGCCGTCGTCCTCGTCCTCGTCGTCGTCGTCGTGCCGTCGTCGTGCCGTCGTCGTGCCGTCGTCCTCGTCGTCGTCGTCGTCGTCGTCGTCGTGCCGTCGTCGTGCCGTCGTCGTCGTCGTCGTCGTCGTAGTCGTCGTCGTCGTCGTCGTCGTCGGCGAAAGCGGCGGCCGCGCCGCGGCGTCGAGTACCTCGCGGTCGGCCCCGAAGCCGGCGGCGCCCTGCGCGGCGCGCCGCACGGCCTGCGCGCGGGGCGACGCGCAGGCCGTCGGCGCCGTCGCTGCGCAGGCCGCGCTCGCCGCCGCCGTCGGCGTCGGCGTCGTCGCCGCCGCATCGTCGGCAGGTGCATCGTCGCCAGCGCCGTGGTCGCCACCGCCATCCTCACCGGCCTCGAACTGATCCCTTATCCCTAAGATGGACACGCCAAGAGGCGATGACAATCTTGGGGATGCGCCGTCAGAAAATAAGGGGATCCCTAAGATTGGCATCGTGCTGAGGAGATGCCCAGCATAGGGACAGGGATATGTTCCAGGCTGGTAAGACCAGACAAAGCTGAACCTGAACGGTGCTTTTCGTTCTTCGTTTCGTCTTCGCATTCCCTGTCTCGGATCCGCCCCTACCGCAAAACGAAGTCGGCACGAACACGGGCCACGAAACTGCAAAAACACCCTTTAGGTCCAGCCCTGCTACCAGGCCACCCCAACCATAGGGATAGAGGGGGGCGGAAAGATGGGGATACGTTTTGTCCCCGGACCTCTCTTGGGGTGCGTTCTGACCAGAATTTCGAGGCGTATCCAGCGGTGACAACGAGAATTCCCCAGGAGGACCAAGAAAGGCCGAAAACGAAGGGGGACGACACGTATCCGCATCTTTTTCTCCCCCGAGCTACCAGGCCGCCCCAACCATGGGGATAGGGATATGTCCCAGGCCGGTGACATCCCATCGTGGGCGACTCACGGGGCCACCCAACCTCGCGCACGGCGCGGCCACTGGGCGGCCAGCGGCCAGCGCGCCGTGGGGGTTCCGACGGGGACGGGGACGAGAACGGGGAGGCCGGCCACGCAAGCAGCGCTGGGCGTGTCCAGCAGGCTCTGCAGCGTACTCGCGCAGCTTCGCGCGCCCGAGGGCGTACTTATACGACGTGCTGATGGAGTTGCTCGTCCGACACGAACATCTAACAAACCAATGTTCGAACAGGTCCTCGTGCGAGCGGTGCGGCCAGAAAACGCCCGTCACAGAGCCTGTCAGAGTTGAGGGGGCCGAACGGCCATTCACTGTCCCTGGGCGCGTGGCTGAAGTAAGGTTCCGCGTTGCGGATCATTGTTGAGTTGTTGCTTTCGTCGTCCTCGCCCTCGACCCCCCTTGCGACCCACCCCACGACCCACCCCGCGAACCACACTCTTGTCCGCAACTGCGGGGTGCTACGTATATGCTACAACATGTCCGAGTATATCGCGTCGTCCTCTCCACGTGAAGGCGCACGATGGGCCAACGCCCGCTCACCGCACTGGCTGGCCTCTTCGGGCTGGGGGACCTTCGGCCCAACGCTCGGCCGCACGGGCGCTCCCGAAAGTCAGGGCGCCCCGGTGACTCGCCGTAGGCTTGCAGCGCAGGCGCGGCCGCGAGAAACCCTCGCAAGAGACCCAACCCTGAGAACCCGTGCGTGAGGTGCACATGAAGGGACCCGCTCCTTCAACGGCTGCGGGAAGTCACCGCGCAGCGCGAGGAGCGAAGAGGCCCGGGATGCCCTGACGAAAAGCACATGGCTTCTTGATGGGCGCCCCCACTGTGTGTTGCTCACGTCGTGCTTAAGGACCACGTCCCTGAAAGAATTTCGAGCACCCGGAGAAAAGTGTCTAAAGAGTTCGAAAGAGCGTCGAAATAGTGTCGGACGAGCCTCCCAGGGCATGACACGCGAAGACCATCGCGTGCCGGTGCTTTTCTGGCGCTCGGAATTCTTTCTGGTGACCAGGGCTAAAGTACGCTGAAACGTCATAACCGAAGGCGTCGTTCCGATTCCTGCGCACCTTTCCTGACCCCCCTCTTGGTGGAGGCCTGGAAATGGGCACCAGCACCAGCACAGGGGCTTCGCCTCCACAGGGGGAAGGTGGTCCTCGATTTCGGTGGTGGTGGCAATATTTCGAAGCCCGAACGTGACCACCATCGCCAAGATCGGGATCATGTTCCCTCGGTGGAGGCACACCGCCGACATCGGTGTCGGTGTCAACCTCAAGGCCTCTGATCTTGGGCGCCCCCCCGTCGCCGCGGTCCTCCGCAAGCGGGGGCTCCAGGCCGCAGTCCTGGGGCTTCGCTCTCGCGCACCGCGCGCGCGCGCGCCCGGGGCCGGCGGGGGCCCGCTCCCTCGCTCTGCTGCTCCTCCTCTCGGGAGCGGCAAAGAGGGGGGTGTCCAAGAGGGGGGGGTGCAAATCATGACCGGCGGCATGTGGGCGGCCCAGCGGGGGGGCCAGGGACGTACTGAAATAAGAAGGGGCGCCATGAAATCTGGGGAAATATCATGGCCCCCGCCATGATATCCAACCCCCCCTAGTCATCACCCCCCTCTTTTCCGCTCCTCCTCTCGTCATTGCACGGGCCTTGCAGGCGTGCTGCAGCGGACGTCTGCTTGGACTTCAGCCCGCAGCGGCGAGCGAGAAACGGCGTGAATGTCGCGTGGATTCTTTCTGGTCTTCATTCCTGGCCAACAAAAGTCCGCGCGAAATTCACCTCGGCATCGGAAACACAATTCTCCAGGACAAGCCGGGCCCCTCCTGTCGTTTTCCGAACCAAATCCGCTATGCGATGTTGGCGCCATGACCTCTCACGTTCCGTCGCCCAAAACTCTAAATCCTCCAGCAGGGAAAGACCAATACGTAAGTCGTTCTCGAGCAAAGACCGACCGTCCCGATATTTCTAATTGGGCCTTCCACGGGATTCTTCAAAAACGAATAAACTCCTCCGATGACAAGAACGAGTTGCTCAATTCGTAAACGCGACTGGTGCGAACAAGACCGGCCTCAGCGAGAAATGATCCAAGAACGCTTCGCACGGAACACAACAAAGTAATTCGATGCGTCTTTGGTGGGCCTGTGAGCAAGCCATGACGCCTCCCCACTGCTTGCCTCTCGCCCCTTTCGACCTCTCAGGGCCCGTACGTATGGGCCCAGGACCGACAAGCAACGGCTCGGGACGAAAAACCGGCCGCAGGGTGAGAATCGAGACTCGGACCGTTCTGGAGCGCAACAAAAACTCACCGGGCTCAAGCCGTGACGGCCACTGGCTGCCAGTCGCGCGAGGATCGGTTGCCTTGACGCGGCCCCCTCGGTCCAAGGAGCAGGGCGCGACGATGCCGCGCTGTCCTTCGAACCGCGCTGGATGTCCCACGGTCGATCTCCCACGACCGATCCAGAAGTCGGCAGCTGTGCTTCATGGGCCTCCCTGGGGGCAGTCTTCAGGTCGGGGGCGTTCGAAACCATGCATTGCGATCACAGTGGGTTTTGTTTTTTCAGTTTCGATTTGCACTTGGATTGAAGTTGAATTCGCATTACGGCTTCGATTGAACTGTCATGTGCGTTCCGTTTTTCATTGCCCATCACATTCCCTTTATACCTGCAGCGTGCATGTCGACTGAGATTGCATGGGCGCCCCGATCGGAACTTTATTTTCTTGCACGTCGCTGTGCGTCCCGATCTGCTTCTAACACTTGCAACTAGGCGCGTGTGGCTCGTTCGGCATATCGTTTGTCACGACATTCGCATTACTCTGTGCAGCTCCCACGGGACACCCAAGGGACAACCCCCGGGACAAGCACAGGGCAGTTCTCGGGACTACCGCAGAGTAACATGCGGGGAGAACAACCCACAAAATCACCCATGCGCCCATGCGATGACACCACGGGACACCCGACGGGACAGCCGTGGGACAATCACGCCACCACGCCGAGGATCTGCACAACCTGAAGAGGAATTGCTGTGCGACCTACGCCACGAAAAGATGTTCACAGACGCCCTCCGACTAACTTTGCATGCACCTTCAGGGAGGGCGGCGGTGTGTAGAGGCGCTGGCTCCCAGTGTGACGTATACACCGCCACCTTCCCTGAGGCCCAGGAGCAATCCACTGGAGGGTGTCAGTGTATATCTTTCTGCGTTGTACGGCCTGGCCCCAGCTGCGTCGGCGCATCGTCGTCATCGCGCAGCTTCGCCTCACGCACCACGCGCGACACGGCCCGAAACCGACATGGAGATTTTTTCTGGTTAGGGCCACTTCGTTGTCAGCCCGACCCCTCGGATTATCTGTATCGCAAACGTAGCTAGAATAGTATTTGATATATTTGCTTGCCCGGCAAAGCAAACGCGAGCTGGCCGAGCGCGGAGCGCTCGGCCCACCTCCGAGGAGGGTGTCCAAAGAGCCTGCATGAATTCGCATACAATGGGCGGCTCACGTAGACTACGAAGAGCCGCCGCAGCTCTATGGAACCCATTGGGTAGCCAGCAATATCAGGCTTCTATCCCCGCAAGCCATTTGGAGAAGAGGCATTAAATCCATGGGCACTCGAAACTCAGACTCAAAGGCCATGAAGACGAGGTCATGACGGGCATGCCGCCCCGCTTCTCCAGAGCGCAGCCTAACAGAGCAATGCAGCGAGGAACACGAGGCGCAACGATGGCGTCGAGAGATGGTGCAGAGGAACAGCAACTGCATACGCATCAACTCCCAGAGCTCTGCGTGGATTTCGAACGCTCATGTTTATGCTTTGTTCAGCGAGTGGTTGCACCGCCGAATGCTCCTCCTGCCTCCTGATCACCATCGCAATCGCCATCTCCATCTCAGTCCTTGCTGAAACCATGCTCATCATATCCTTATCGTTATCAGTCTCTCCTCCCTCCATATCCTCATCATTCTCGTCCGCGGCCCTGCTGCTTTCCATCTCTTCCTTCTGCCCCGGCTTCTGCCATTATTCCGTCGCGCGAAACATTTCAAGCACATTC